GCTGTTTATGGGGGATGGACAGGGTTGGGGGACTGCTGAGCTTAGGCTCCATGAGCAGTTGATCCCCCTCAGGCAGCAGCTCCTGAAGCTACAGGCAGAAGGACCCAAGGAGACAAATGAGAGGTGGGGGCATCTGTCTGTTTTGGCCAGGGCACCCCTCCCGTAGCCTTGTCCTACACCCCGCCCCCGTCCTTTTTCCCTGGTCCACACAGACCCACACCACCAGCCAGCTGTGTTTATTCCTTCATCCAGTTCTGACCACACCCCCACCCCACTGCTGTAGGTGGCTATGAAGGGAAGGTGGTCCCCTCTGTGCTCCCAAGGTAACAACACTTGTCACCGGGTCCTGGGATTGCCATTTGAGTCGGGGCCCTCCACTGGACTACAGGCTCCCCAGGGCAGTGCTGGCCAGCCCAGTGCCCGCCATGTGCTAAAAGGCAGCATCTGTGTGGCTGACACGTGTGCTTTGACCGTTCAAGGACTGTAACCGAGGTCCACAGACTCAGGGAGGGACGTGGGGGTGGGGAGCAGGTGTTGGATGGGTACACAGCAGAAACTCATTCAGTGTCTGGAAGATGAAGTTGAAGGTCATGGTCTATGCAGCACAGCCTTGCCTGAGGGCATGTAGACCACATCCCCACCCTGCTGTCTCTGCTGGGCCCTCCTGTGAAGGTGCCTGATCTGAAGGGACACCCTTATGACCTCATCAGCTCCCAGAGACCCCCCCATGCCAGCGCATCCCATTGGAGTCTCCACATAAGCTGGGAGACACAGGTTAGTCCTAGATTTGCAGGTAGAATGGCAGCTGGTTTCTGTGGCGCCCCACCAGAGCTGGCTTCATGGGGTTCCCTCTCCCTCTGGCCTGTCTGGGCTTGTCACTTCCCACTAGGGTCCTGCCTGGCCTCCGGGGAAACTTCTGGCTCCCAGAGCCTTTCAGTTCCGTGAATCCAACGATGACACCTTCATGAAGGCTTTCTTAGGCAAGGCTGCCCGTCTCCACTCCCACAGGGTCCCCCAAGCTCTCTACTCCCCAGGGGAGAAGGGATCCTCCCACATGGTGCTGGATCTCACTGGGCCTGTTTCCCCAATGAATGGCGCTCCTGAGCATAGTGCCTGAGGGATGTGTGCAGCTGAGGCCCAGCAGGCTGCAGGACATTGTGGACATTGCAGGACATTTAACTTTTGTTTTATATGTATGTGTGTGTGTGTTGGGAATCAAACCCAGGTCCTCCGAGAGAGAAACAAGTGCTTTGAACTACTGAGCCGTCTCTCCAGCCCTGACATTGTGGGTCTCTTGTCCCTACCTGCAGGGGACTGGGCTCCTCACACATGGTACAGCATGGGCGACACCCCTCACCCCTACTCAGAAGCCACCTCATAGAGTGCAGAGGCACACAAGCAGGGCACATTCAGAGAAAGACATCTGTCCTACGCCAGCCTCTGCCCTGAGAGGGGACTCCCTCCTCCATCCCTCCATCAGGCCCATCTCCCTGCCCTGCCTGGCTTGGCACAAAGGTCAGTCTATGGTGGTACCAGGGACAGGATGAGATGTGGGGGTAGCTGTGCAGGGGTGGAAGGGGCAGAAAGGTCCCCTAGAGCTGAGCACCTGAGGGACACAGGTCCAGGAACTAGAGTCTTCCCTGTCCTCCAGCCAGGCTGCTCCTGGGGCCTAGGAGGGCTGGCCACCTGCGGAAGGCCCTGTGAGGACTCTGCAGAGGAGTCCAGAGCCATTTCCCAGGGGACAGAAGTCCCAGGACCTCAGTCATCTGGAAGGGGTCCGTCCCTTGCCTCTGCCCCTCTTGGTCACCATAGTTCAGGCTCCATGTATAATGAGGTGTCATGGCTGTAGTTAGACAACACCTCTTGGGGTCTGTGTGGGACCCCAGTGGCCTCCAGCCAGGCATCTGTGAGCACACAGCTGTGAGAAGGGCTAGGGGTAGAGCCTAGTGTGCCTAGGCCATGGGTGTCCATGGCGCATGTGTCTGTGGGTGATGCGTTTTCTGAAGTGTTATCTCAGGGTATCTGTGGAATGGTCCATATGTGTGTATGTATAGTGTGTCTCTTTTGTGTATAGTGTGTGCATGCCTGTGTCTTCTCCACGTGAGTGTGGTGTCTGTGTGCCGTGTGTATGGTTGCATGTGCTCATGTAGTGTGTGCAACTATGGTGTGCTTCTCTGTGTATATTGGGGGGTATCTATGAGATATGTGCATGAGCAGGGTACCTGTCTGTGTCAGTGGTGTCTCTGTGGTGTGTATGCATGTCTCCATGTATGTTTGGGCTCTGTGCTTTGTGTGCTTCTTCTCCATGTGCTGTGTGTGTGCTGTGCTGCTCTGAGTGTGGGTGTGTCTATGTTCATGTGTACCTGTGGTGTGTTTCTCCATATGTGAGGTCTCTGTGTGGTGGGTGTGTGGTGTCGGGGAGGTGCCTCTCTGTATCTCTGTGTTTCTTCATATATATGTGGGGTGTCTCAGGTGTGGGGTGTGTTGTAGTGTCTGTTATTTTTTTCTGTTATTTAGTCTCTCCATGTCTGTTTGTATCTGTGGTGTGCTTCTCCACATGTGTGGGGTCTCTATGTGGTGTGTGTGTACCCATCTCTTGTGTGTGTGTGCCTCTGTGTGTCAGGGTGTCTCTGGTGTGCTTCTCCATGTATGTGGGATCTGCATGTGCTATATGTAGTGTGTGTGTGGTTGTTGCTCTGTTGTGTGTGAATGACTGTAGTATGCTTCTCTATATGTGTGTGGGGTCTCTAAGTGGTGTGAGTGTGTGTAATATATCTGTGTCTGTGTCCCCTCGTGTATGGTCTCTATGTGATGTGTGTGTCCTGTGTCTATGGCATCCCTGTGTGTGGTGTCTCTCTGTGCTATCTGTGATGTGATATGTGTGTCTTTCCATGTCTATGGTGTGCTTCTGTTCTGAGGTGTCCTCTCCATGTGTGCAGTCCTGGTATGTGTGGGTGATATATGTGTGTGATGTGTCTGGGCCTCTCTGTGTCTGTGTATGGGGTCTCTGTGATGTGGTGTGTGTGATGTGGTGTGCGTGTGTATCTTTTTGTCCATGTTTGGAGTGTCCTCTGTGTGTGAGGTCTCTGTGATGTGGGGTGTGTATGGTGTATGATGTGAGTCTCTGTGTGTGTGTATCTCTGTGTCCATGTCTGAGGTGTCCATGTGTGGGGGCGATCTGCTGTGTGTGTGTGCGTGTGCGATGTGTCTCTTCGTGTCTGTGGTTTGCTTCTGCATCTGAAGTGTTCTGTGTGGGATAGCTGAGGTGTGTGTTTGTGTGTGTGTGTGTATGTGTGTGTGGTGTCTAGCGTATGTATGTGTCCTTCCATACCTATATGTGTCTGTGTTGCCTCTCCCCGTGTGGGGTCTCAGTGAGGTGTGTGTATGTGTGTATGTGTGTGTGTGTGTGTGCGCCTGCGTGTGCGGTGTCTAGCGTATGTATGTGCCCTTCCATGTCTAGCTGTGTACGTGTTGTAGTGTATGTACGTGCCCTTCCATGTCTATGTGTGTCCGTGTTCTTTCCCCCTTGTGGGGTCCCTGAGACCTGTGTGTGATGGGTGTGATGGGTGTGTGCGCGTGCGCGCGTGTGCAGGCGCGTGCGAGCGCCCATTCTCTCCATGCGGTTGGCGCTCCCGGTGTCGTGGGCCGGCGCTCGGTGTCCTCGGCCGCAGCCTCCTCGTCCCGGGCCCGGGGGTCCCTGCGCAGGGAGCCGAGCGTTCCGGGGTTCAGAGGCCGAGGCAGGGACTCGGAGCAGCCGGCTACAGGCGAGGAAAAAGTTTCCGACCAAATGGAGAGCTGGAGAAGTTTGGGCTGCTCAAAGCCAGGCCAACATTGCCCCCGCGTGGGCGCGGCGCGGAGCTGCACCTGGCCGGGGAAACTGAGGCACAGAGCAGGCGCGGTGGACTCTGGGAAATAGCAAGCCCGGGACCAGGGTGGGAGCGTGAAAGTGCAGAAAGGGGACTACGGGGAGCGCCTCCGGGCCGAGCCCCCCTGCAGCCCCAGCGCCTGTGACGCGCCCCAAGCCGGATCCAGATCTACTCTTAGCCAAGACTTCACCATCCCCGGTCCATCCGGTCCCCAACGTCACCCACCAACCATCCAGCCTCAACCCAGCTTCCAATCTGTTAGACCCCCAAGGCCTGCTGTGAGTCCAAGCTGTTTATTCACTGGCCAGCAGGTGGCGATAAAGACCCGGATCCTGCACAGTGCGCGCGTGCGTGTGTGTGTGTGTGTGTGTTTGTGTGTGTGTGTGTATGTCTGCTACATTCTAGCAGACTGCTTGTCTGACTCTTTAGTGGAATCAATGACAACAATTTGTCACATCTACCTTAGTAGCCTGGCTAAAGTGAATGAAAGTTACTTTATTCCGTTTCTTATTTGCTAGTATTAACTCTCATGTAACACAGCACACAGAATATGTGTGTGTGTGTGTGTGTGTGTGTGTGTGTGTGTGTGTGTGTGTTAGGGGCAGTTCCAGGTGAAGAGGAGTGGGTTCAGGCTACCTCCAGGGGTTGGGACATGCATGTGGCAGAGCCAGCCTGGCACCCACATCTGTGAAGGTGGCTGGGTCATTGCAGAAATAAACTCCAAGCACCTTGCCATGTGGATTTAAACATTGCATCAGGCCCCAAGCTCTGAGCTGGCCCCACACAGGACTTTTATTCTGGGCAGGGGCCTGGACACCTCCACTCCCAGATTGGAGGTGGTTGGAGAAGCCTCTGGCACCAAAGATATAAGGGTTTTTTTCCCCCACCCCAAGCTAAGATCATGGTTAGGGTCAGCTCCAGGCTGTAGAGGCTTGGCAGGGGTTTGAGGCTGTGCAGTTGATCACCATCCAGAAAGGTATTTATGAAATAAGCCCCAGCCCCTAGGATGCCTTGTCGTCTCCCCTCCCCAGTACCCTATCCTCATCAGCCTCACCCCACTGTGATTCCAGTTCCCCCCACCCAGGAGCCCCCAGATTCCACAAATCAGGCACCCAGAATGGCTTATACTGGGGACACCTAGTGACCCATCCCAGCCACCTGGGAGGTGTGTTTATTTGTGGGGTGAGGGAGCACTCTCCTCAGTACCTGGCCTGGGTGCACCCCTGGGCTGGGGTTCCTGCAGGCATTCAATGCTGAGTCTGCTGCTTGTTTGTGGAAGGCAGGAGGAGCTGGTAGGCCTTGGGGAGGCCTGGCTTCAGGGTGGATTTCAGCACCAAGCTGGGCAGAAAAGACTCCTAAAGCCAGAAGGATGCCCAGCTGGGCACTGCCTCTGGTACCTCAGGGAGGACACAGGGAGGACACAGGTCCCCTGGGGCCCAGGTGGAAGGATACAGTTTTCCTGGGGCCCACCACAGCCCACAGCCCAGCATGCAGGTTTTGCATCAGGGAGGCTCAACCCAGCAGCCCAGGTGCCTGCCCCTTGCCTGCAGAGCTCTGTGCTCTGAGGGATGCAGGGCCACACAAGCCCTGGACACAGGCCCCAGGGTGACTCAACAGGGATGGTCCCCTGAAGGGTTTATGCAGGGCTGCTCCTGGTGACCAGCTGCTCATGGCTGCTTACCAGCTTCTGGTTCCAGGAACAGATCGATTTGCCAACCTGCTCCATCGTGCTAGGAGTGTCCAAGAATGTCCTGAGGCCCCCCGGAGCCCTTGGGGTGGCAGCCCTGGGGATGAAGGGCAGGCTGCTGCTCATGGAGGAATCCTCAGAAAGGTAGACCCGTGGCTTCTGGGCTAGCCTGGTGGGGAGACACAGGAGCCTGTGGTTTTTGTGAACCTGGAATTCCAGACCTATTCACAACCGGCAAAAGTCCTGGAGGTCCTGGACCACAGCCCTCAGGCTCCCCCTTCCCAGAGCCTTACACTCGGGGGCAGTCCCAGTATGAGGAGCCAGCCACAGTGTCCTGGACCCTGGGGCGCAGGGCTCTGGGGAGACTCTCCAGTCATCTCCCAACACTCCCAAGCACCCGCTCCGACACGGACACAGCTGTTGAGGCGGTCTGCTCACAGTGGAAAATATTCTGCTGGACTGGAAGAGAGCGGGGCACCAATGAGTTCCCTGTCCCCTCCCCTGGGGAGGGGCACATTGACACCCCCTATTCTTTCTCCTCCCTCCGGCTGGCAAGGCCAGACAGAGCCCTGTCTCCATGGCAACCCCAGGCTCCCTAGTGCCTTCTGGCTGCCTCCAGAGAAGTCCTGGGTTTTAAAACTACCTTGCGTGACTGCTTCGGCTGTTCATCACCCAAGCTGTGCCCCACAATGGCCCTACTCTTGCTCGAACCCCAAATGGACTCCCCTTTCCCTATGTAGACGGGTCAGGCATCCCACTATGGAAATCTCAAAGATGATGCCAAGAATCCAGAAGGGCTAGAGGGAGGGGTATCTCAGAGCTAGGCAGTTTTCCTGTCCCACCAGCCATTGCCACAGAAGAGTTGAGCTGTCTTGTGCTGGGTGCTTTGTGCTCTGCAGACCCTGGAACTCTGGGCTTTGGCCACAGTGCTTGGCCTGTCCTTGGATTTCTGGAGCACCTCGGGCCTCTATTCTAGACACCTTCGGCCTCCGTTTTCTCATCAATCAAATAACCAGAAGCCGGGGTTCGGCATGGCTGCGCATGCCTGTAATCCCAGCACTTGGGAAGTGAGAGCAGGATCAGGAAATTCAAGGACATCCCTGTTCTAGATAGTAAGTTCCAGGTCAGTCTGGGCTACATAGAACTCTGTCTCAAAAAGAAAATGAATAAATAAACAAATAAATTGCTAGTCCTGGGCACAAGGGCTCTTAATTAGCTGAAAAAAAAAATTCCTGGGGGCTGGAGGGATGGCTCAGCAGTTAAGAGCACTGGCTGCTCTTGTAGAGAACAGGTTCTGTTCCCAGCACCCACATGGCAGCTAAGACTACTCTGTAACTCCAGTTCCAGGGGATCCAATGCCCTCTTCTGGACTACGTGTGCATTATACACAGAGTGTACTTACATGACACTCATACACCTAAAAATTTAAATTTAAATAAACAAATACAAATAAGTAAAAATTGAAAAAAAAAAAAAAAAAAAAAATTTGTGTGCCCAGGGAGGTGGTACACGCCTTTAATCCCAGCACTGGGGAGGCAAAGGCAGGTGGATCTCTGTGAGATTAAGGCCAGCCTGGTCTCCATAGGGAGTCCAAGCTAATTGGGGCTACAGGGAGATCTTGTCTCAAAAAGACAAAAAAGAGAATGTGAGAGGAAGATGCTTCTGAAAGTTCTTGACATTCTCCAGACCCTTCTAGAGGTCAAGGGGATGGGAGGCCACGCAAACCAGCTCCTCACTAGGTGGTGATAGCAGGTCGGGATAGCCAGGCCTGGACAGCCCTTGTTTCCTGGGCCACCACTGTGGCTCTTCCTGCACAGCACCCACCAGGATACCCTCCACCTCTGTTGGACCAGCCCCTACTTGGTCCTTTAAAGGTAGTTGGAGCCTCTGAAGAGGCTAGTGCAGGTACGTCCTCTGCAGGGTCAGTGACCTGCCCTGTACTCTGGAGGTCCAGAGCTGCAGCCCCTGCTGACAGCAGTCCCTGTCAAGAGTTTTCTGGAATCCCAGGGTTCCAGGAACAACTGTCTTCTCACCTGTACAGTTGTGTTCCCAGTAGCGGAGCGCCATGTCCTGAACAGTCTCATCCGCAAATCAGACCCGGAATGGACAGTAACGCTTTCGGGGTCTCAAGCCTTCTCCAGAGGGGCTATGAATGACCACAGCCTTGACCTTCAGGACCTGCATGCTGTGGAGGCTGCTGAGGGAGGTAAGAGGGCAGGCAGGGCCTTTGCCAAAGCCCAATGCCTGCCACTTCACCCCAGCAACACACAACCCTGTAGGTGAAGTCTCCCAGGAAGATCCTGGGCAGGGCTGGAGAGATGGCTCAACTGTTAAGAGTGGGTACTGCTCTTGCACAGGATCCAAGTTCAGTTCCCAGCCCACAAGTGGGGTGGTTCACATGGGTCTAAACTTCAGCTCCAGGGAGATTTGAGGCTTCTGACTTGCAAAGGCACCTGTACTCACATGCACATACACACACATACACCTAACTAAAAATAACAAAAGTAGCTTGGGGTGGTGAGGGGATGGTGCATGCCTTAAATCCTGGCACTCAGGAGGCACTCGGAAGATCAAAGCCAGCCTGGTCTACATAACCAGTTCCAGGTCAGCTGAAGCTACAGGGAGATCCTGTTATAAAAACCAAAAATCAGGGCTGGAGAGATGGCTGAGTGGTTAAGAGCACTGGCTGCTCTTGCAGAGGACCTGGGTTCAATTCCCAGCACCCACATGGTGGCTAGTAACTGTCCATAACTCCAATTCCAGGGGGAACTGACACCTTCTTCTGACCTGCCAAGGCATTGCATGACACAGGTGCACTTACACACATGCAGGCAATACACTCATACACATAAAATAAAAATAATAAATAAAATATTTTTTAAAAACCAAAAATTAAACATAAATAAATAAAAATAAGTCTTGGGGCTGGAGAGATGCCTCTGTGGTTAAGAGCACTGGCTGCTCTTGCAGAAGACCCAGGTTCAATTCCCAGCACCCACATGGCAGCTAACAACTGTCTGCAACTCCAGTTCCAGGATATCCGATGCCGTCTTCTGGCCTCCATGGGCATTGCATGCACATGGGCACACACATATGCAGGCAAAACACTCATACACATAAAATAATTTTTTGGGGGGGTCTTTTTGAGACAGGGTCTCCCTGTAGCCCCAGCTGTCCTGGAACTTACTATGTAGACCAGGCTGGCCTTGAACTCACAGAGATCCTCCTGCCTCTGCCTCCCAAGTTCTGGGATTAAAGGTGTGCACTACCACACCCAGCCATAAAATAATTTTTAATTAATTAATTAAAAAAGCATATGGCCAAGTGTGGTGGTCCACATCTTTAATCCCAGCACTCAGGAGGCAGAGATGGGTGGAGAACTGTGTCAGGAATGGTTCTGAGAAATGTGTTGTGGTCCATTAGTATTGTCTGCCATGGGTACGGATAGAGGAGGAATACTATGCGTTCTCCTGGTCTTTAAACTTATGGGCAGTGCTCGTCATAAAAGTGAGAAAAAGAAATGGATGAATGATAGATAAGAAAAAGGATAGAGGTGAGTGGGTTGGTGGGTGGGTGAGTCAATCACAGGATCAACAGAAGAGCTGAATCCAGGTGGATTGGTGGATGGATAGTTATGTAGATGGGTGTGTAGGTTTGTGGATGGTTTTATGACTAGAAGAGGGGTCGTTAGTGTCCTGGATTTAAGAGTGAGTGAAAGGATTTCTAGATAGATTATTGGAGATATAACCGTAGGAGTTTGTGAATAGACAGAAGACTGGCTGGCTGGTGCAGGTTAGGGTCCATGACCAGTAATAGATGTGCGGACAGACGGATGGATGGACAGGTGGATGGATGGAGAGATTCACAAGCTTGTAGAAGATCTGGTTCATGGGTCAGGTGTATGCAAGGATGGGTGGCTGAGCCGGAGGATGACTGTGTGGAAAGAGGTGTGGGCGCATTACGGGTGCTGCAGAGGACCTGATTACTGGATGGATGGGTGAACGGCAGGAAGGAAAGGAATGCCTCCCCACACTTCCTCCTGCTTCCATAATTCACAGGTTGGGGTCCAATGAGATGGCTCAGTGGGTAAAGGTGATCACCAGGAAGTCAATCCACATGACAGTGGAAGGAGAGCATTGCCTCCACCAAGCCCCAGCATGCACTGCCCCCACCCCCAACAACAACGACCACAGTCCTAACTCACTGGTCGGCCTTTTTCACCGTGGTGAATTCACCTCTTGGTGTCCCAAGGGTAAGTTTCTCTCCAAGACTGCCCTGCAAGTTGGATGACTGGTTCCTTGAAGACAAATAGGCTGGAGCTGAGGTGAGCAGAGCCCCACCCTGGCAGTACCCAGGGCAGCCCCTCACCCACCAAGAGGGACCCTCCACTTACCACAGGTTTGGGAGAAAGGAGCAGTTGGGACACTGGGGAGAACCTAGGCAGTACTCTGACACATCCTTGGGATGTTGTGCTGCTGAGGGTCAGGGAGGGAGGGAAGGAGGGAAGAGGACAAAGGATGAGGAGGGAGAGGAAGAAGAGAAAGAATGGGGAGGAGGACGGAAAGGAAGAGGAGAAGGAAGAGGAAGAGGAGGGGGAGAGGAGGAGGAAGAGAAAGAAGAGCAGGGGAGGGGGAGGAGGGAGAGAAGAACAACAGAAAGGGCGGTAAGAGGAGGGGGGGAGAAAAGGAGGAAGGACGGAGGGAAGAGGAAGAGAAGAAAGGTGCAGTGCATTGGGGCAGCCCTTGCTAGGCGTGCTCCCTAGGCTTCCTGGGGTATGACAGACATTCCCAGAGTTGTGGGCATCCCTTGGGGAGGAGTCTGAGCATTCCATGGGGGAGGAGTCTGAGCGTCCTGTGGGGAGAAGTCTGAGCGTCCAGTGGGGAGGAGTCTGAGCATCCCCATCGGGAGGAGTCTGAGCGGCCAGTGGGGAGGAGTCTGAGCGTCCCCATGGGGAGGAGTCTGAGCATCCCGTGGGGAGGAGTCTGAGCGTCCCTTGGGGAGAAGTCTGACTGTCCAGTAGGGAGGAGTCTGAGCGTCCAGTGGGGAGGAGTCTGAGCGTCCAGTGGGGAGGAGTCTGAGCATCTCCGTGGGGAGGAGTCTGAGCGTCCAGTGGGGAGGAGTCTGAGCATCCCGTGGGGAGGAGTCTGAGCGTCCCTTGGGGAGAAGTCTGACTGTCCAGTAGGGAGGAGTCTGAGCGTCCAGTGGGGAGGAGTCTGAGCATCCCGTGGGGGGAGGCTGAGCGTCCCTTGGGGAGAAGTCTGACTGTCCAGTAGGGAGGAGTCTGAGCGTCCAGTGGGGAGGAGTCTGAGCATCCTGCGGGGAGGGGGCCCGCCCCGCCCACCCGTGCGGAGGCCTCACTCTGCAGCTCTGCCGGCTCCGCGCACTTGGCGCAGGAACTCTGGGAACTTGCTGGGGAGCAGCGAGCCCAGGAGCGACCCCAGGGCGTCGGGGGCCTCAGCCGGACGGGGACTCCGGGCCTCCGACCCCCGGGACGCGTCGGTCGGCCGCAGCGGCTGCAGCAGCAGGGCCTGCAGCGCCCCTCGGCTGGCCGACGGCTGCCGGGCCCGGGTGGGCAGGGAGGGCAGGTGCGCACCGGGGATCCAGGCGCTGCGACCCGGGCTCCAGCTCCCAGTCCCGCCACCAGGCCGAGCCGCCCGCACCTGGCGCCCCGCCGGTCTAGGGCGGCGGCAGCAGCGGAGTTTTCGGCTGGCTGGCGCCGGGCCGCCCCTGGGGCTCCCGCTCCAAAGTCCCCGGACCCGGGTGACGCCGGGACGTGTTCACCCAGCTCTGCTCAGGGCATCCTCACGCCGGGTGGGCGCAAGCGAGGCCGGGTCGGCACGCGCCGGCCCCCAGGCCATAGTGCCCTGCTGGGGACCGTGTGGGGTGAAACCACCCGCTGGGCAGGCGGCGAGGGGCTCCAGGCTAGACCCTCGAGCCTCTCGTGGTTGCTGTGACGTTTATGTGAGCCAGTGCTTGCAGAGCGCCTGGAACAGTGCCGGGCTTACGTTGCACCTGCCCAATGAAAACAACCTGTCTTTCTTACTACTACTAAAAAAAAAAAGTATTATAATGGGCCTGGGGAGGTAGTTCAGCTGGTAGAGGTCTTAGAATACCCGAGGCCCTGGGTTCGATCCTCAGCACTGCATAAAACGGTCTGCCTGTAATGCCAGCACGTTGGAGGGAGAAGCAGGAGGAGCAAAAATTCAGGGTTATCCTTGGCTACATACTGGATTCAAGGCCAGCTAGGCTGCATGAGACTATTTCAAAGACATTATATGATTGATGTGGTGGCACATGACTTTCATCCCAGCTCTTGGGAGGGGGAAAGCAACAGGATCTTTGTTTGAGGCCAACCTGGTCTACATAGCAAGTTCCAGACCAGCCAGGGCTACATAATGAGACCCTGTCAATAAATATAAATAAATAAATAAATAAATAAATAAATAAATAAATACATACATACATACATACATACATAAATGGCTGGAGAGATGGCTCACTCGTTAGTTAAGAGCACTGGCTGTTCTTACAGAGGACCCAGGTTTGGTTCCCAGCACCATATGGTGGCTAACAACCTTGGGTAACTCCATTTCCAAGGGATCTGACACCCTCTTTTGACCTCTGGGGGTGTTGCATGACACCGGTGCACTTACATACATGCAGGCAATACACTCATGCACATAAGAATAGAATATTTTTTAAAAGATAGTAGGAGACAGCTGACTGCACAGTATTCTCTGCCCTCCACAAGCACACCATGGCATGTGACTCCCCCCACATCATAATCACACACTTTATAGTTTAAAATTTTTAAACCGTATTATTTAGAGTTTTGTCTGAGCTCCTTTCCTTATTGGCTCTGGGACCCCGGGCAGCCAGAAAACTTAGAGTCAGTGCTCTGGTCTGAGGACTAGGGTAAGGCCAGCACCTGCCTTCTGTTCAATTAATTCATTTTTTGAGACAGGGTCTGCCTACATGGCTCAAGCTAGCCTGGAACTCATCATCTTCCTGCCTCAGCCTCCCAAGTGCTGGGATGACAGATGTGTGGAAGGAGATGTGGGAGGGCTAGACCTCTCAGACGGTTCCTATCTGTAGAATTTCAAAAGGATTTAAGCATATATATATATATATATGTATTTTTTTTTTTTGAAACAGACAGGGTCTCCCTGTAACCCTGTCTGTCCTGGAACTCACTATGTAGACCAGGGTGGCCTCAGACTCACAAAGATCTGCCTGACTCTGTCTCCTGTGTGCTGGGATTAAAGTGCCACCAAGCCCTAGCTCCACCAGGAATTCAGAAACCTGCTCCCAGAATTGGAGCATGCTGAAAATAATCCTGACCTTCTCCAACCTACCCCTCCAAATCTGGGGAGGAACCAAGGCCATCTTTACTCCGCACCCCCAACTCCCACACACAGTGCTGGGAATGAGACACATCCTCTGACAAGGCCTAGTGCTCCACAGACCAGCGCTCTACCATGAAGCTACATCCCCAGTCAAGACATACATTTTTGCAAATTTTTCCCCATTAGGGAGGTAGAGCCGCAGTCTCCCCTCAGCTGCCTTTTGGGTCTCCAGCGCAGTGTCCTCTCAAACACACCCTATTCTCAGATTGCTGGTTTCTGGGTAATGTCACACTCACCTTGTGGGGGACTCCTGGGTGAGGCCACCAAGGTCCTGTGAGGTTAGAGGCCCCCCCAACAGGTGGACTATTTGCTGGGAGAGCCCATCTTCCTGTCTGCTCCCTGTGTCAGTCCCTCCCAGATGCCTGCCAGTCTCCTCAGAGCCACTGTTATTTGCCCTCACCCAGGGTCACTACGGAGCAATGGGGTGCTGTGGCCTGGGTCCAGGGCAGGGCTGCAGTGCCCTGGGTGCCATCACAGAGGCCTTGACATGCCTGGCTGGGGAAGCTCCCCAGAGAGGGAGCACCCAGCTCAGTCACCATTCCAGACCATGGTGACTTGTGTTTGGCTGAGTGGCACGGAGGACCCCCACCCCAGGACAGTAAGAACTTGGTGGGCCTGGAAACTCCAGGAGCCAAGGTCAAGTTCATGTTTTTCTCTTGGCTGTATGTGCTGACATGTGTTTCCTTCAAGGAACTATGTGGGGAAATGGGTTGATGTGTGGGTCTTGGTTGGTGACATGGTAGTGTGAAACTCAGGTTGGGGGGACAAGGGTATAGGGTTAAGGCAAATGTTTCCCAGGCGTGGCATAACGTGTGTGTTTTAAACTATTTGTTATTTATTTATTTATTTATTTATTTATTTATTTATTTATTTATTTATTTATGTGCATGAGTGGTATACCTGCATGTATTTAAGTGTTCCCATATTGTGCAGTGCCGGAGGTGGCCAGAAGAGGGGATCAGATCCCCTACAACTGGAGTTACAGATATTTGTTAACCACCACCATGTGGGTGTTGGGATCTGAACTTAGGTCCTCTACAAGAGTAACCAGTGGTCTTAACTGCTGAACCATCTCTCCAGATCCCCCACCTGTCAGGAGTTGCTAATCATTGAGCTGTGGCAGCCTTGCTTACTGAGTTTGTGTCATGCAAACCAGTACCTAAATCGGCCTATTCAGGAGGGATGTGTTTATGGAGAGCCTCACAATACCTGACCTGGAGGCAATAGTGGTAAAC